ACATCAGCACAATGCAAATATCATAACCATCTGAATGGAAGCAACATCAAGAGGGAAAAAAATAAAAGAGAGAACATACCTAGGAATCCTTTCCAAAAGAAGGACATAGCCATCAGAAGTAATCACTCGAATAGCTTCATATGGGTACCTAATACACAGAGAATAATGAGAAACGTAAAAAAGATGAAGAATGCCATTCATAAAAAAAATCAACTAGATAAAGGTAATATCAAATTTTCCTTACCCTAGTTCTGTTATGACGTCCTGACATGTCCGAGCATCAGTATTCAGAGATTGATGAAAGGAAGAAGTCCTTTCTGCGAGAGCTGGATCATCCTCTCCAAGAGTCGTTGTGGGTACAGAATCATCCAAACCAGTATCACTACTTTCTGAAATCCCAGCACTCAAAGGAAAAAACCATCTTAAGAGAATTCTGCACGCTTCTGATGGAGACAGAAGAAAATGTGCAGCCTTGTGGAAAAAATCAAATATTGTTTCTATGAAGATCTCGATGGCTAGGTGAAGATCCTGGTCAACAGATCATTAAAATACGTAAACATGACTACAGAAAAACATACAAATAATGAACGGTTAATGAAAGCACAATCTCCTAAGACAAAATAAATATTGTCAATGAAGGAACCTCAATGACACCACGTCTCCTGTCCGTGGTACGATGAACGACATGGTCCTTCAAAGTGCCTGTTTTCCTGAAAGAACGTCTTGGGGAAGGCTGATAACCTTCTTGGTCAGAAGGAGTTTTTGACCTCCTAGCATAAGATAAATGGAACAGATGAAGAGGTATCCTCAAGAAGAATTTTGCTGGTAACAGAATCCACGAAAATATGTATGTGATCCATTCCGTCCAATGTGTTTCATACTTAGCAAAAGTACTTGAGCGAGAAAACCGTGAACTGCGAGATGATGGTGTTGCAGGATATATTCCATCACTATCTTCTCCGGAAGAATAATCCAAGCTTGAAGTATCAGAATCAACAGAAAGCTCATGGATAAACTGGTTGAATGAGGACACCCCACTATCACCACATACAAAATTCAGAAACATGAGCAACTAAAATGTCAGTGATTCACTTGGGAGCTGACAGTATAGAGCAAATCTAAAGTGAAAACTGATTACAGCATTTTCCCACTTACTTCTCCATCCATCGTGGAAAACGAGGTCCACGGAAAGTTGGTCTGAGCTCCCAACCATGAATACCTTCCAGAATAGAAGCCTTCCCAGGCAGAAGGGTCAAAAGAAGTGCTGATACTCCATTTATCACTCTTGCAATGTTATTTAATGACTCGTAAGTGACTGTCTTCACAGATCTGCATCAAAATAGAAAGCAGAATAAATGCTCAAGATATTTTCCATTAAACAACGAAGAAGCTGAAGAAAATAATCAACAAAACCATCTAGCTTCTATTAACACCACCAAAAGTGAAATGAAACTGTAATTTTTAAAATTATCATAATTTTTTTTCTTTTTTTGAGATTGGTGTCTTAGAAAAACTGTCGAACAGATGCCTGAGTTCAACCTACACTTGCCTCATGATTCTACCAGTTGCAGAGTCAAATCTTTTAGGTATGTTTTAGAACTAACCAAACCAAATGTCTCAGAAAGGGTTAGCAGCCTCAATTACCATGCTCGGCTCCTCCCAAAAAAAAAAAGAAAAACCAGGAGAAAATGAGCTCCAAGAGAACTCAGGAAACAAGGCTTCCACTCATAGCCAATTAATTGACAAAAATCCCAGCCATAACGTATCTGGTCTCATGGTCCTATATCCCCTTCTTCACTGCCATGGAATACATATAAAAGCAACTCCTGGTAAAATACAGTCCTCCAATGATCTCCATGAATGTCTCGGGAGCATTCATGCCTTTTTTATTTCTTCAATTTCAGCCTTTGCTTTATCAATATAATCACGAAGGTTATAAATGTTCTTTCTAACACATGAATTACTGAAAGTTCGCATTATTATCATCTTTGTTAAAATCAACCCCCCCGACTCTTCTAGAAAAAGCCAACTCCACTACACAGCCATTCATTAATTGCTCCACCTTCAACTTAACAGATTATCTCAGTTGACATTTTAACCAAAAAGTACTTCTCCAAAGGAATCTTCTTGGTACAATTATAGAAGTCATTATGAAGGGAAAACAGTAGTTAATTCAAGCAGTATGGCGATGAAGTTTGTAAGATGGTTTTTTACAGAGATTTCTCACCCATGTTCCTTTAAAAAAAGACTTCAGACAAAGAAAAAGGAAATATTCTGTCTACCCCCCCAGTTTCCAACATCGATCATAATATTCCAATAAAAACAAGAATTCATCTCCATATCCATGTGTACCACCATGGGTTTGTATTTCCAAATGGAATATGATATAAGGTTTCTAAATTGCCACTTATATTACAGGCCATCCTCACAAGTCCCAGATCACTCCATCTTTTATTTTCATAACTTCACTCGTTAAAATAAAAGTCAATTTCCTCAGACGATGCACATATACAACAGAAAAGAAAATGAAGTAGAAGGCAAGTGTTATATATCTTGACCGGAACTAAATCAAGCTAACTCATTTAACCTCCAACAAAAATTTGTTTAGTTTCAGGTACATGATACCTACCATTGCCAAATATTACATGGGAGCTAGAGGCACTTCACATCTCTGATCCGACAAAGAACACCTCCCTCATATTTCCTGTCCAACGTCACTTCTCTTTACTCCATTTGAACGAGAGAGCATCATCCTTCCCTACTAAAACAAAACTTCCCCATCCTTCACTACCACCAACAGAACGCATAGCTTAAAAGTCCACTTCGACGTCTTTGATAATCATTCTACGAATTACGCTAATAATGTAATAAAAATTCACATTTCCCTCCCCATAAAACCCTTGAAACGAACCGGAAAAATCATAGCATGCAGAATATGGGGCAAACAAAGCATAGGCATAAACAGTATCTGAACGAACCAGAACAATCAACAAATCCAGAGGAAAAGGGCCCTCGTTGTCTTTTTTTTTTTTTCCAATCAAATTCGAGTTCGCCATCAAACATAAGCAAATCCTCTTGGAGAAAAAAAAATCAAACAAATAAAATAAAAAAAAGAGCAGAATTCATGAAACACCGGAATCGCAATCCAATCCAGACATTCAAAGCCTAGATAGATGTGAAGCGAGATAGAGGAAGAGAGGGATGGAGAGGACTCACTCTTTGGTTACAGCGAGGACGTTGTCAACGAGTCGCTGCATAACTTAGATTCTCAATTCCTGATTTTCGATATCGCGATCCAAGGAAACACAAATCTATCTGCTATCAGTATACAGCCACATGTAAATTTATATATGTACTCCTACACGTATACGTAAATATATGTCAAAAATGAAGCGGAGAAGCTTTAATTTGTCAAACCAGGAGGAGAGAGAAGGAAGGAATCTGGATAAGGAGACCCGCGATTCTGAAAAAAGGAAAGCAACGGCGATTCCTGCCGTCCAGATGAGAGAAGTCGGTTACTCGGACGGTTTCCTGTCCGGAAGTACACGTGGAGAGCTGTGATGGGATGATACCGATACGTGTCTGTCGTCTACCTTGATGAGCATTTGCATGTGCTGAAAGCTCTAGTTCTGGTCTACGTGTCCGTCATTTGGGGGTCTTGGGCCCACAGCTCCTTCCAGTCACTGAACGGCAACGTGAAAATTGGAATTCATGTTTTTTTTTAAAAAATAATAATAATAATAATAAGTCGATTCCTAATAGGCCTGTTTGGTTGGCGAGAAAACACGAGTCCTGATCCGGTCTAGTTTCTTATTCCTAGAAAAAATAAATTATAAATCTAGAAAAAGGATCTTTCATAGTTAAATAAAATGATGTAAATAAATATGATATTAATGAGACTGGAATTTATTACTTCATAACAACTCTGTAGACTGTTTCTTCTAAAGCTAACTTACTGTACATTTATAAAATATATTTATTTAAAGAAATATAAATATTTTTAATACAATATAATACATATTAAACTTTAAATAGATAGAAGTCGAACTTAATTATTTAAAATAGATGAGAATAAAAATAATTATTTATTAATTTCAGTAATTAAGTAAATGACCACTAACTTGATATATATATTTTTTTAATCAATTCATAATAGTTAAAACGAATTGAAATAATATATAAAATAATAAATAATTATTACTAAAGAAAAATATATATTGATAGAGTTGATAATTTTAAAATATATTAGAAAATTATTATATTTTATGAGAATTAAAGAATAATAATTGAAACGATTATCAATATTTAATTATCATGAATATATTTTGTATTCTTATCTCGTATATAAAATGAGTACAAATTTCTCTTTCATACGAGTTTTCTACTAAAAAAAATTTAAAAATTCTTATGTATAGTAGTTAGGTAAAGAGAATAACTGAGTTAAAAAATTAAAAATTTTATTAATAGATCTCTCATTTACGTTATAGTTGCATTATATTTGACGTAAACTTTAACTTTTTATTATTTTTTCTTTTATTAAAATATGTTGAATTCAATAAAAAGTAACTTTCACATTAAATATTCTTCTAATATTGTATGAAAAATGTAAATAATTTAATATGTATTATTTTTATAATATTTTTTAATAGTATATTTGATGTAAATAAAATGTAATTATGATTTTTGAAAAAATTAATTTTAACTTCCCTAATGTTAAAAAATAAAAATAAAGAATAGAATTAAATTTTATTAGGTGATGTGCCAAAAATATTTAACCATAACATTTTCTAAAATATTTTTTAAATCAAATGTTATATTATAATACATGTAGTATTTTACATATAAAGATAACTAATTAAATAATACTGAAATTTCAAAGTGGTGATATGTAATTTGGTTGTTAGAAAAAAAATTAATTTAAATATTTTCTTAAAAAAATTAATTTGACTTAAAATTATAATATAAATGACATTAAATTAAAAAGAGTAAAAAATATATGATTTAAAAAAATTATAAAATTTATTATAAATATTATATTATTTGAAAATTTATGCAAATTAAAAGAAAATATTACAAATTCCTATTTTTTTCAATAAAAAAATTTATCAAACACTTGCTTTTTTTTTTTTTAAACGACGTATCAAATACGTATTTCTTTCCGGTTAAAAACATATAATTTTGCATATATGACTTGAAACAATTTAATTTAAAACGCGAATAAAATAAGATAATTTAACTCGTGGCGCCAAGAGCTCTAAAATTCAAGGTAAGTTGTTGCCCTCTCTGCTCTATCCATTTCCCACAACTCGCTCTTTCTTCTTCTTCAGAATGGGCTTCGACGCTTGTTCATGGCCCCGCCCCAGGCTGCCGGTGGCCACTACGACGTCGTCTTACTGTTCTCTCAAACTTGAGCGTTTCTTCTTCTTCGTCTTCTGCAAACACACCAAGAGTACCTCTATCTCTTGCTCTGTATCTGAACCCTCGAATTCCCCTGCATCCTCGTCAACTCGCTCCTACAGTCGTCGATGGTACAATCCGCTTCGAAACCGGCCGTCCGATTCGCCTACTCCGTACATTGTCCGCCATTGGATCGACTCTGATTGTCCACTCGCATCCCAAGGTGAAGCTTGTCTACATAGTTATACACATCTTATCTTCCTGTATTTGTCCATGGAAATTCATTAGAAAGAAAAATTTTAGGGGTTATATTTTACAAATTAACATTGTTTGTTTAGTTTATGTTAAGATTCTTTTAAAAAGTTCATGTTGAGATCAAATCCGTTTGTATCTCTCAGTTGAATCTGCAGTGGAATTGTTTTTTTCTTTTTATAGTTTCAGATTACCTGTAAATAGCAGGAATTTTGATTAACAAAAGGATGAACTTAAGGCACCTCCCTCGTAAAATATCCAATCCAAACAACAGATTTTCTTAAAAAAGAAAAAAGGAATTACTTAGGAAATAGTTGCTATTTGTATTGATGTTCCCGAGCGTCATTGTTATGCAGAGAGATTTACAGTTGTATCGTATAATATACTGGGAGACAGAAATGCATGGAAACACAACGATCTTTACCCAAATGTTCCTTTTCATTACATGGAATGGGGTCATCGCAGAAGGGTCATTTGTCAGGAATTATCTGAATGGGAACCGGATATTATCTGTATGCAAGTAAGTATTTCCTTCATTTTTATTCTTGCAATTTTGTGGAGACCGGGATAGGCTTAATGCCATTTGGAATTTATGGTTACGGTGGAAATTTTTGTTAGGAGGTGGACAGGTATTTTGATCTCTTGAGCCTAATGGAGGAAGTTGGATATGTCGGCTCTTACAAGGTTGATATTTTTTTTTATATTTTCCGCATTAGCTGTGTTTTTTCTTTTCTTTCTTTTTCTCAGTTAGAAGACTGCTTTAGAGTTATATTAGATGAATTCTAAAGAAGCTATTTGCTATGACAGCGCCGGACCGGAGATTATGCTGATGGTTGTGCTACATTTTGGAAAGCAGATAAGTAAGTGATTCATTCTGTTTTATTTCTTGGAAAATTTATCGAAGTAATTTACGTTTAAATAGTTTTCCTTTATTGATTTCATAGATTTTGCTTGGTGGAGGGAGAAAGCATTGAATTCAAGGGACTTGGTCTTCGTGATAATGTTGCCCAACTTTCTGTTTTGGAGGTACAATTTGAATATTTGCTGATGTTTTCTATGCTTCTGGTAGTTTTTCCTTTCACAATGTAAGTTAATTTATATGAAGTTTTATGCGTTATACTAAGTCCATTGAGGCTTGCGTATGCAGTGGTTGCAGAAATGCAATTCGTTGTACTTTTAGAGGCAGACAAAACTTTGGAGTGTATTCTTGTAAATTGTTGCATTTCGTCTTTGCTTGCTCCTGTGCCCTGCTAAAATATTCAAGCTATGGGAAAGAAATAGTTCATCAATCTGTATACAAAAACCGCTCCAATGCAAAAAATGACTTGAGTAAAGATCAAAATAATGCAAGGAGAGTCAAGGTCATGTTCATACCATGCATCATACTGGAAGTGCACTTAACTATTTAACTAAAGAAGACAAAGGGTAAAAGTGTACACGGCTCCTCATCCATGTCTTATTCCATGCTGGGCCAAAGAAATTAGTATAAGGCTGTAAGCAGATGAAAACATACATGGATTATGATTGCAGCTTATAGGAATGTTATTGAAGAACTTGCCCTCTGACGATAAATCAATACTAGTTCTCCAGCTCTCTGTCTTAGACTACTATAACCAAAATTGTTTTCCATTATAATACTTTGCTGTGCATTAGATTGCAATTGTGCTCGTTTTTATCAAGTTACAGAATTGCTTTTGTTATCACTTCCATAAATAATATCATCTCATGCAGGCAGATGATGAAAGTTAAATCAAGAAGAGTGCTTATTGGTAACATCCATGTGATTTATAACCCAAACAGAGGAGATGTGAAACTAGGTCAAGTAAGTAACTTTTGTTGATTTCCTTTTTCAGTGGATGATCATTTTGTTATAATAATACATTTACCAACACGTAATTTGTCACGTCATATACAAGCCTATTACTAAAATTTTGATTATTCAACAATACCATGCACGTGATAGCACACAGGTAGGTTTCAAATTGGGAAATTTGAAGTTTAAATGCTTTTCTAGCACAGTTTTAAGAAAGTTATTAAGAGGTTGTTTGTTTTCACTGTATTTTTCGGTCAATATGAGCTTATAAAACAACATTTCAAATTTTATTGCCTGTTTGTTAGATTACAAAAAGCTTATAAGTTAGAAAACTTATAAGTCCCTATAATAGTGGTTTTAGAAAATTGTTGAGGTGTAGCTTTTATTTTAAAAACATCTGTATTGACTAAATAAAATACCAAAATTATCTTTTAAGAATATTAAATTTCATTCCTATACAATATGTCATATTACTCTTTTTTAAAGTGTCAATTTTGATCACTTGTACAATATAATTTATCATACGTATATGAATGAATATAGCTATGAACTCTTAGTATCCAACCACTTCAACAACATATTTGGAAAAAAATTATATCAGCTTATAAAATATTGCAGAGCTTGTAAACTCTAATAAAATTTTCAACACTCCACAACAATTTACTGAAGCTCGAATAGTTGTGTTATTTGATGTCTAGGTTCGTCTTCTCTCATCAAAGGCAGAGATACTTTCCAAAAAATGGGGTAACATTCCTATTGTACTTGCAGGTGATTTCAATAGTACACCACAGGTATAGTGCCTAAAATCCTTATAACATTATTACTTTGAATCACACAACATATTTGTCACAAATTTCAGTTCTTCCTTCTACTCATTGACAGAGTGCAATTTATAAGTTCTTGACATCATCAGAGGTAAATTACGTGCGGAAACTAATTTACCATTTCAAAAATAGTCATCTCGAATTAAAGGTGCAGTTTGCTTGAAGTGCAGCTTGAAATTGGGTATTTGTTTCGGTTTACAGCTGAATATCATGTTACATGACAGAAGAGAGTTATCTGGTCAGAGAAGGTGTCATCCCGCTCAAGTTTTTGGTGCGAAAAGAGAAATGGAGAGTCCATTAATTTTGATTGACAGGTAAATTACATTTCTCAGTAGCATGTATGTTTTATTTTACTCTTTCCATCCAAGATCTGTAAATTTGTTTTTTTACCTTTTAGACTTGATCTAATATTTTACAATGGGGCATAGCTGGGTTAAGCAACTTAGTGTGAAGAGCTGAAGTCATGCTTACTAGCCATTATTGTTTTATTCTTTAATTTATTGTTTACTAGTTTGTTATATTTTGCCATAAGCAATTTTTTTTTCCTTCAGGATCATGTGTTGAAAACTGGTAAAATATGTAGGAGCCAAGAAATTATGTAATTAAAGTTGGCATTAGACATCATTAAAGTAGATATTACATTTTACTCAACTTTAAACTTCTTCTCACAATTCCATACTCTAATAGTATTAATTGTATCTGTTACTGTAAACGGCCCATTCCTTTGGTGTGAATACCATGAATGGGATACTTTCTCATAATTCATTTTCTGAACTATGCAAATATGTTGTCCAACTAAATAGCAGCATAAGATTCCTTTCATACCCTTCATTTCAGTCTTTTTAAGGATTCTTGGACCAGAGAAGAGGCTAAAGCTGCAACTGGAAGTGCTGAATCCGATTTGGCTGTGCATCCATTGAAGCTCAATAGCTCCTATGCCACAATTAAGGTGGTTCATTTTCTTATTTGCTTCTTTCACTATTTGAACTGTCCCGCTCACTTGGAAGTATCTCTTTACATTATCAAGTCTTTTCAGGGCTCCACGAGAACAAGAGATTCGAATGGCGAACCTTTAGCTACTTCTTACCATTCTAAGTTCCTTGGAACCGTTGATTATTTATGGTAAATAGCTTTCCTGAAGTATTTGTTCAGATGGTTGCAGGAGAGTCAGAAGCACTAAAAAGATTGTCAAAATATGCAGAGAGAAAATAATATAAACCAAACTATACATCTTTAAATATTTATCAAACTTTGCATCTTATTTTTCTCCATCAGCGTTGATTAGTGCCATGTCAGCTTATTGACACTGTTTGTGCTGGAAATAAAACTCTGTAACATGCAGTCAACTTACGACCCATCTGTGTCAATAACTACTTACATCATGCATCTTATTGGTGATGTTTTAATTTGATAAAGCTCATATTGCCACCAGCATGACCTAGTCAATGCTAACATGATGCAGAAACATACATATCTTGATAAGTACTTCAGAAGAATGCACGATTTGGTTTTGTCTTGTATTTTTGTCAAAAAAAAATGCTGGTAAAAATTATGAAATATTTAAGTTTATTAATGCTTGGCACAGGTACTCAGGTGATGTTATACCTACAAAAGTTCTTGATACTGTACCTATTGATACCCTCAGCAGGACAGGTGGCCTTCCATCTGAGGTAAGAGCTACAGCGCACAGTTTTTTTATGCATGTAGTTTATAAACTTATTCATGGATTGATATCCACATGAACTTCAACTTTATACTTAGTACAAGATGAGACTACAAAAACTGATGAGGGGGGTTATACCATTCTCTAAACATTGGTTTATTTCTGGGATTTTAGCTGACTCTAGATTTAAAAGGTAACGGTTTTTACTTCCTTCAGATAAGAACATCAAGAGCTTTTTCCTTGTTAGTTTTGTCCATATGATACCAATTCTGAACTCTCTCTCTCAAATTCAAACAAGCATCTGAACTAGTGCGTGCTGATCTTCATTGTTATGAAGTGATAAGAATAAAATTGTTGGCATCCCTCTACAGTGACATCCTCTGAATTAACTGTTTCAACTTATGGCATCTCCTTCTCCAGGTCACCCTGTGTTCAAAATGAACTGGTTATAGAAGCATATTAAGTACACAACATCTATCTTAATGCGTATTATGGAAATTGTTTTCATCGAAGTAGATTTCTCTAAATAATTTTTATTTGTATATGCGTTTTATAGAAATCATGGCAGATTTCATCATATAGATTTCTCTATATTAGTTCAGTTGCATATGTTTTTTTAAGAAATCATGGTATGTAACACACTGCAAACAAGACACACGGTCTTCAAGAAGTTCTGAAAAGAAAATGAAAATGAGGAAAAGGAGGGAGAAAGATAATGAGAAAAGTTCCACATTGTTCCCTTACTAACTCCTTTGGCTCCACTTTCCTATAAATAGAAGATGAGGAGGAGGAGGTAGAAACATAGTGAGTAAAATCCCATTGTTTTTGTTGATTTTAGAAAAAAAATATAAATTTATTATTTTATATCGTTATATTTAAAATATTTATAAAATTTTTAATTTATAAATAAAGATATTATTATTATAATAAAAATTTAATTATATGAAATTATTATTTTAATAAAATTTTAATTACATAAAAAATTATTTTAGTTAACACTTCCACTAGCAGGTATAAAGATATCGCCCAATTTACAGACCAAGTTATTAAGAGATCCATGGTTTAAAGTAAAAGAGAAATTAGCTAATATCAGAAGAATAGAACAAAATTTCTAACTAGTTGCAAGTAAAAGAGAAATAACAACACCCAGTAGTTAATCTCAGAGAAGTAGAACAGAACTTATAAGCAGCACCTATAAAGTTAGAAACAATAGGATTAGGCCGGAAAAAGGCAATATGCTGGAGCAGAGTCAGTGACCAGAAACAAACCAATACGGTAAGAAAGTAGCGGCAAACGCGACGGCACTGGCACTAGTGCTCGGAAGAAGGACCAGAGAATGCCAGTCGGAGTGGCTCAAGCGTGGAGGAACCAGATTTGAACGATTCTGTGCGCGGCAGAACGTGACAGAATGCTCGACGGGCAGAACGGGGGAACGCGTGGCAGCCGCATGAATGCAGGTCCAGGAAGGCGCGATTTGAGCCGGTTTGCATGCAATTCAGATTTTTCTCGTAGTAATGCAATGCGATTCAGGCCGGATCTGTCTGATTCCAGTGGCACGTATGGCTTACACACTTCTGCTGCAGCGGCACGTGTAGCTTACGCGACCTAGAGATGGTTACCTGAGTCGGGTGGTAGGCCGGTGGTGAGGTTGACTCCATCTAGGGTACATTGGGATTAGAATTTGACAGGTGAGTATCAACTCATGCTATTTTACTATTTTAGAATTTGAAAGAAAGATTTAAATTAGAATTCTAGAATATTTTTATTTTGGTATATAATATCATGTTGATTTTAGAAAAAAAAAACTTTTTTTCACAAAATTATTATAGAATTTTTAATCTTTATATAACAAAATTATTATTATGGTAAAATTTTAATTATACAAGTACTATTATAATAAAATTTTAATTATATTATTTTAACTAATTAAATAATAAAATATTATAGTCTAACAATTTCTTTTACTAACTTATTTGACTCCCCTCCCCTCTAAATAGAGAATGAGGTAAAAGCAAAATGATGAAAGTCTCACATCAAGTTTCCTTACTAACTCTCTTGACTCCACTGTCCTCTAAATAGGGAATGAGGTAAAAGCAAAATGGCGAAAGTCTCACATCATTTCTTTACTAATTTGCTAAAAAAAGTCATGTATAGTTTTCGTTCTATGATTCTCCACCTTACCCAACAAATAATTTATAGAAAAATGGAACCAAAAGAATTACCAATGAAATAGTGAACTTCTCTTGCTAAACTCCTCGCTGTGCTTGTCCCTCCTGATCTCTTATTTATAGGAGCGTGGAACCAACAGAATTAGTAATGAAACAATGTGGGACTTCTCTTACAATGCTCCTATCTCATTCTCCCAATCCTCTATTTATAGGAGAGTAGAACCAAAAGAGTTAGTAAGGAAACAATGTGGGACTTTTCTCACTATGCTTCTACATCCTTCTCTTCATCCCATATTTATAGGAGTGGAGTCAAGAGAATTAGCAAGGGAACGATGTGGGACTTCCCTCACTATGCTTCTCCCTCCTCATTTTCATTTTTTTCTCGGAAACACATTGAAGGTCGTGTGTCCTATCTGCAGAGTGTTACATGATAGTTTCATCATATCACTCACAACTACCAAGTTTCTTGAATCCTAGTTTTTCCTCTGGTTAAAATGCTCTACGTTTGAAACAAGCATCAATCAACAATTATGGATACTGCATCCATGTAGAAAAGCATTAATCAAATATCATTTGTTGTATTTCTAGGTGCATTACATGCAAAGTTGTATTAGCAAAAATTCATATAGCTGTAGCAGGGTTCATATTCATTTATGTCTACACATTTGCAATACTTGTATATGTGCACATAGATTGCAATTTGATCAGTAATCATATGAAGATTTCAATATGACATAGTTTCCTGTAATTGTTTAGAAACTTGGAAGTGATCACCTGGCCTTGGTTTCTGAATTTGCCTTTGTGCAAGGAATGAGATCATATGATAACTAACGTGACAACAGTGCTGGTATTATACGCATGAAATGGCTTATTGCTGATACTAAATGCATCCTCCCCAGCACGGATGGAAAAACCATTTTCCAGCATAGCAGACAGATTTTATTATCACACGGTTCCAGATCTACTAAAGAAGTTTTATATCTTTACCCACCATTTGTATTTCACAGCAAAAACTAGTCATCCCTAAACCAGTGCAATTTAAGTTTAATTTATGAACTTTTAATATCTTGAAATATTAACATATACTGTAAAAGTAATTTATTTATAGTACAGAAAAAATTGTTCAATTGTGTTATTTACTCGCAAAAAAATTTCTTGGTCACAGAAAGACTACCTATGTCATCAAAAGTAGCATGATTAATCCATTATGGACGTGAGCAATAGTTATTCATTTCACATAAGATGTATTAACCCAATATCGGAAACATATTTTAGGACTAATATAAAAACTAACTAAAACATTATGGGCCAGAGACCTTTTACGAAGCCCAACAGGGTTACCTAAAACGAGATCATGTACATATAGAACCATTGGGAATAAGTTAATGTTATGATATTAGCAGTAAGTACATGTGACAATAATGATACAACACAAGCTAATGTTATGTCATATGTAAAAGGTCTCTCGAAATTAATAACCTATAAGTTATACAATCTAAAGAAGTTAGAGCAGCAATCCCTCTCTGGATCCAGTAATTTGCTAACCCAACACATTAATGCGAGAGAGTTCTGAGTACAGACCCAAGTCACTTATCCTAGCTACGGCAGTAAACACACCAACTTGTCCTCATATTCTGATTCAATCAACAATTCTTAAGGGCATTTTCTCTGAATGTAAGATGCTCCGTGCTCTTCATACCTGTCAATTGCATATGTTGTAAAACTATTTGATTAACGAAAAGAGTAATAGTATGTTTAACTAAACCATAGTTGAGCAATAAAGTCAAAAGTTTCCGAAGGAACGCAATAGACTGCTTGGAACTTCAGCATAACTAAGGGCTCACGGAAGTACTGGCTACGAAAGATAAACATACTCAGATTTGGAGAACCACATTTGCTGGAATGAACCAAGGGATGCCAATATACTACCTCCAATCCAAACACTGCACAATAGCATAACCAGAGTTTAGTAAAGTTAAGAGCAAGACACAGCAAATTCATTTCTAATAACTACTTCCTGAGATAATGATTAATTGATAGATGTGAAACAATTAACTGAATCCGTTACTCAAAAAACTTAACCTGATAAGGAAATATGTGCAATTTATCATTTATTCTCCAAAATATTCCTTCATATGCAAACCCACTATAACTTATGCTTGAATTGAATTAACAGAAGTGAGGTGGGAATCATGATCCAAATTCTGAATATCTCCCTCAAATACCATGTATTGACTTATCTAATCATCCCAAAAACTAAAGTTGATAGGGAACTATTTAATTTATTATTGATACACTAACAATTACCTTGAGATTTGTCTCCCTATGAATAGTCAGAATAAAAACCATCAATACAATGATGAAACAAGAATACCTAATTATAGAAGGAAGAAGAATGTTGATACAAATGCAACCAGTTGTTAGCAGATGAGACATGAGCTCAAGCGACCCTGTTTTAGACCCCAGAATTAGAGTGTTTTTGTCCTGGATGATGATGCCTCAACTCACTAATGCATTCCCTTTGATCTACCCATTCTCAATGTTCTACCATAATTTTCTTTAGTTATATCCTATGTTCACTGGGAGGTGTTCCTTTTCTATGACTTATCAGCCTAACTTTCCACCCCTCCAACAGCTTGTACTGCTTATCTGATCACTTACTCATCTTTACCACCTTACACTATCCATGATCACGAGTTGTACTCATACTACAGAACTGTTATGGGAATTATTTTATTTCGATGAACCAAGCCAGTGAAAGGGACCAGTTACAAACAAGAAAGAATAAAATAACAATGAGGAGAAAACTATACAACTTTTTGTACTTGAATATTCTTTATTATGTATATAATAAATATAGGTTTAGTTTAATTAATTATTTAATATAAGTTTAAGTATTTACTATAGGTAGGGCTATACGGATTCTAACCATAGACCTTCTTGGTAAAAGACACCAACATGCTCACTTTCGAATTTGGCAGCCAACTACAGGCTAAGATCTATGATTTTTTTAGAGCGGCATCTTCTAAATTTATAAAGGGATTGATCAGTCTTCTTTCACTCTTTGTACTTCTTCTAGTTCTATAGGAGGATACCTTATCATCACTTTTTGTACTTTATCTGACAAAACCACTCAAACATAAAATGGTCGTAGCAGTGTTTTGAAATCAACTGTTTGTTTAATTAGGATTTGTATTAGATGTGAGAGATCTGAATCCATAAAACAAATCTACAACAGATTCAACTGAAAGATAGAAGCAGACTTATAAAATAAAATATTAGGTAAAATTTAAACCAAATTCCTCAATCAGGGATTTTATTTTAGAGAACAAAGTACTATTTGTTTGTGCATAAGAACAAACATAGATATACATATCCACAGAGAGAGAGAGAGAGAGAGAGGTCAACATAGCCCACCTGAACCTTCTCTCCGTTGAATTTCCACTAGCCAATACTTTAACTCTAGCAGTTTGAGGAGACTCCTACACATTGATGAACAATGATCCGATAATTCAGTTATTTAGCGGAAGAAGCACTTTAACACACAGTTATACTTGCACGAAACAAAGTAAAATATTAAATGTAAAGTCTTAAGACAATCCCCAAATACAGGCTAACTGTAAGCCCAACTCTGTTGCTACTGCAGCCCCTACCAAAGCTGCCATATGGCTACAAGGTTTGACTTTGCATGACATCCCATTATGAGGAAGATAGAAAAAGAAAAGCAAACAGAAGAAAGGATGAGAGGCAGAAGACTATAGATTTTGCGTACACACTTATAGATAATAACGAAATGAATGCTGCACCCACAAATCTGTGCAGACCCAAAACTACTATTTCATAGAGAAGTGAGCTACAGTGATGAGAGAAAGAGAGGTTCATCCCAAGGTGACAATGTTACACTGACTTGTAGATGATTACTTACACAACGACCATTAACAATGAACCTCATTAGTGCTTATGCAAGTAAACACTTTCCTTTCTCCAAAAGATCATGAAGAGAAGAGGACTTGATGTTCACTGGAAATTTGAAAACAAAATAATGGAGACAAAGGTACAGTCAAGAATACCTCTAGCAAGTCTTTCTCAAGACGCTCTTTCAACTGTTGCATTGATGCTGTGCCACCAGCAAGCTGTATCAAAAGAAAAAATATCTGTAACATGAATTCCAAAGAGACAGTTATATCTGTATCAATGAACTATTACAATTGCAGATGTATATGTGTATAAATATATATTTCTGTCTCTTGTTTTTATAGAATCTCCAACAATAATTTTTTTCTGTCTCCTGTTTTTACAGAATCTCCAATAATAATTTTTTTCCATCCCCTGCTCTCTGGGAATTAATATTAGATAAACCAAATTATTTTACATCTCCATCAAGTATGCCTCCAATGCAATTCAAGTAGTCAATGGGTTTTAATCTGTATGACCATGAAAAAATAAGACATGACACTCAAAAATCGCTCTTCTAAATAGCAGGATTTTGGTATCAAAGAAAAGTAAAACTACCAGGAGTAGGAATCTGTGACTAAACAAGATTCTTCTCTGGTTTGACCAAAAAATAAACCAGAGTGGCCTTTTTTTAAAAACTACATATGTAAACCAGAGTGGCTTTTAAGGAGAAGAAGATGCTGAAAAAAAAAATGAGGAAATGAAACTTATATTGATTTACCAGTATACTACTGAACAGTTCTCGCCGAATATCCACATCGCATCTGTTAATACTTTCTATTACCTGCAGAAAATTTGAAAATCAAATCAAACAAAATCAGTAAAGGCATAAATTAGGTTGCTCAAAAGCATGCAAGAACACAAGAAGAAATATACCATTTGTGGTAAACCACGAACAGAAGGAGCAATCTCAGCAAAGTTCTCCATTGCAGGAATTGTCTAATAATATTGTGGGAAAAGAATCAGCAGGAGAAGACTGAATATTTGATGATAACACAATGGGAAAACTATACAAGCACATGAACCACTCAGCAGTTGTTTTTTAGTTTCTTGATAGAAAACCAGTCAGCAAGTTAGTAGCATCAAGGAAACAAGTCAGCTGAATATAAACTATCAAGACTAGATTAGCCACTAATAACTCGTGATGGAATTAAGGAAACTAATTGATTAGTAAACAATATTAAATCCTGAGTTTGTCTACCTATCAAGAATTAGGACTTCTGAAACTCTATAACCATCAACATTTCCACATCTCAAAATTCCATGGATCAATTCAAAGTCTCAAAAGTAAATATCAGTAGATTTCATTGAAAAGCTAAAAAGTCTCCCTTGAGATCTATTTGCTTGCAGTTCTCAAAAGTATGAGATCAAATTACATGTTAAAAATCAGAAGGAAATAAATCCGGCATGTGCAGGTTACCTGAATCAAGGATGGGTTGAACAGAATATCAGGAATCTTGAATCTATCAGCTCCAATTTCTATTGTCCTGTGTTTTTCATGATTGATTTAACTATTATTATTATTATAGTATATACAGAAACGTGTTGTAAGCAAGAAGATATATAACTACAGGTAAATCTGGTAAAACACTAATACAAGCTCTGAGACTTTTAAAGGTGATATGAGTTTCAACAACTATAGTTTATAATAATTTTTTTATATAAGTTGTAAACAAAATAAGACCATCTAAACAATTTGAGAAAGACAATATCATTTTTCGTATAGAGTTCATAATCCTTCAGATCTATACCAAATATCTGTCATTTGTCTTAATGCCATGGAAAACAGAAATTCACCAATTTTGATGAGCTGAGATTGAACTTACCATGAATTAGAACATGAAATCAGGATCATGGTTCTCAGATGTAAAGGAATTCTGATAACTATGGGCTAACTGACCCAAACCAT